CAATTTTAAGCATCTGGCTTGTATTCGTTTTACAATTCCTAATTTTTCTTGGTTAAGAATATAGTGTATTAGGTTTTATCAATCTTTATAAACTGTTATAAATTTTTGTAGGTTCAGATACTATTAAAACTACTAAACCTATTTTCTTTGGTGAACTTTTTTGGATATGAGGAAAATAAGAAGTGGTTTTAAGCAGAAACCAAAGGTTAACGTAAGAGTTTGGAATTAAAATGGATAATATTTTTAGGTTAATTATTGATAAAGTAAATAAATAAAATATCATCTAAAAGCTATTTATGCTTTAAAGAAATATTTTAAACATTTTTGCCACCAAGACTGATATTCGAATATATAATAGGTTACGTACCTTGGTCCGTCTTCAGTCTTATTTTAGTCAATGGATGACTAAATGGAGTTCTGTCGTGTCCGCCGTGTAACCTGTGTCGGTTTGTCCCGTGTTAAATGTGGCCGGCCTATCAATCGTCTTATATGTTTCGTAACTTGTGTTTTTTAAATAATAAACTTTATGTGTCAACCTGTATTTATATAATGATGAACACTTCCGTCGGATTTTTGACTAGCTTCTACATGATGTTTTGAAAAGGATTTGACAATGGGTCTTTGTACCCGAAACTAGTCATCCATTGACTAAAATAAGACTGAAGACGGACCAAGGTACGTAACCTATTATATATTTAAGAAATATAATTGCTAACCAAAATGTCTTAAAATTTTTAAGACAGCACTATTAATAACAGCAGTGAATTAGTCTTCAGAACGATCTAAAATCCGCTCAACAAATATACCTACTTTGATTTGTTACGATTTCACCAGGAAAACACAGTTACCATAATATTGAATAACACGTTGTAGTAAATAATTAAATAATTAAATACTTTACGTTGATATATTGTCTAAATGCGTCTTTTATTGTGTTTTTTCCTGCAGAGCCCATTCTTTGTAAAACCAGCCACATATATGTCTCTAGTATTTCATATATATTTTTACTCGAGTTATCGTGCTGATGGACATACAAATTTGAACGGATGGTGTTTTTCGCCTATGGGGACCTCAAAAAAGGCAAATCTGTCCCGAGTTTAGTTCTTACCATGATACCTACTGTTATAACTTTTTTTCCTATATGGGAAATCCATTAAAATGTTTTCATATACTGATTCAATATTATAATATGAGTTTATAGTATATTTTACAGAGTAAAATTACATTTCCTGAATGACTGTTTACGATTACAAGTCATTACAAGTCGTGCATATATAAAATATTTAATATAAACTTTTTAAATGAATAAATATTATATACACATTTAAATAATAGCGGCATTACGAATACGAATTTACTTACTGTCAATAAGTCTGCATAGTTAACTCAGCTAATTTGGCTTTACTATTGTATGTTTGTTCCCAAATTATATTATTACGATATCGACAAAGCAAGATGCAAATACTTTATATATAATACAACTGCCCATCGTACCTACTCAAGAAAATTTCCAAAATCACATAGAATCCTATTTAACTGAACGGCCATAGTACGGTTACTACAAAACATCAGATTTTATATGTATACTTCTCAAGTATCGTTACTAAAGCCATTCACCTACCCTAGATTTTAATTATAATGGTCTTAAAGAAACAGAAAACACTAACAAACATTGGGTGGACCTTACTTTCAGGTTTGGGTGAAAAATTGCTTTTAGCAACTAGACTAATTAGACGTTCAAAATAATCTTCCGTTACCGGTACAACATTAATCACTATATTTATTTACCATCAACTTGTTTTTTTTTATATACTGTATATATAATAAATACGGTAGCGTTCTAGCAATAAATGCTGTTGCAAGATATGTCCTAACTTATCTTCACCCAATCCTAACACGTGATGTTAGTTCTTAGCTGGCCAACTAAGCCGGATAAAACATAAAAATACATAGAACTAGTTTGATAGCATGAAACTTGTTTACAAGTGAAGAAGTTTTTTACATGTGCAATACTAATTAAAGTAAATTAAAGTAAATTAAAGTAAATTAAATTAAAGTAAATTGAAGTAATTGTCAATACTACTCCTGATTTTATCTCTCAGACGTATCTGGTATTCACCTTACGATATGGGCTGCTTTTATTAACTTTTTTACATTGACCTATGTCCATACACTTTTTTAATGCAATTGGATTTTATGGTTACAGTTTTAAGTTGAACAGGATACGACCTGAAATTGATATAACTCATTTCGATTTATGTTACACTGATCAATTACATTTTGGCTCATTTTCTCACTTAGGCTTTGATACAAATACACTTCTTTTAGCAGTAACGAGGCACTCAATTTGAGCCGCAGAAGTTAATCAACTTCAAGTTTGGTCGAGAAAAACTTTCTTTCGCTAACAAGATCTGAGTGTGATGTGAATGGGAAGTAGTTGATCCTTAGTGAGTTTTCCACTCTTAGTGCATCTTTATATATTTTTCATAGAAATGTTATGAAAGTGGCTTTGACATGTAGTATTTTTAATTCAAATGTAACTTTTAGGATTATGTTTATGATTTCATAATATTCATACGGAAATTATAGTTGAATAACTTATCAGAAATAAATATAATGCATATCATACCATGACATTTTATTTTGAAAACTTTATTTTCTGTTGAGTCTTTACAAGAACAGGTTAAATTTGAGCTAATTAAACTGTAAAAATACTAAAAATGCTCTACGTTTACTAAAGAGGTCTTATATTCAATTAAAACAAAATATTTATAAAGAGTTTGTCTAGGAAATTCATACATACATCTTGTTGGACGTGTATGGCAATATCCCTGTACTGTATTTAAATAAACTTATGAAAAAAGTAGTTAAACCTAGCAAATTTCATATCATGTATATTTTTTTGTTCACTTAGCTTATGAAATGTAAACACGTGGTAAGACTGCTGTAAAGGAAACTGCATTCCTTTCAACAGTTTAGTGATAGTTGCATTATTGACTCTGGATAAGTTTAAGTACAAATTGATACGTTGGAGCGAAGCCAATACAGACCGCCATCTTGGCGATAACAGACACTAGTTCTGATATAACATAAGGCTATTGTGTATTATCACGTTATAACCTACCTATCAGCCTTTCGTTGTGTGTTTCGAGATAAACATGGTTGTTTAAACTCTAATAAAAGCTATTCTATTAAACATGTTGAGTAGACCAATGCTTGTAGTTATCTTACAACCCACACAAAGTAAGTTGTGTCGTCAATGTTTAGTCTCGTTTAGTTGTGTTATCAAACGTGGTAACTTTAGAAATCACACTTGGTGGTAACGATGAACATGCATTTCAGGTCAGATAATATTCCATGTGATTGCATATTAATCATCATCGAAATAAGATAACCTCAATGTAACAATAGTGGGTAATATTAAATGCAAATTTAAAAAATGTTGTGGTTACTAAGCGGTTAACGATTAGTAGTGTAATTAGCTGCGGGATTGGTTAAATGTTGAAAGGACCTTTCACAACAAGTTTTTACAACCTTTTTTACAAACAAGTTTTGTTTTGTAAATTAATTCATGCTTTCCTTCTCTACTTGTTGCCCCTTAATGTTAAGAAATAGAAGTAGTGAAGATCCAGTAACAAATTACTTAAAAATAGAAAATACATAAACCTGATTTCTGCATATGTATAGGGTCAATATGTGCTGTTAGCAATAATCAAAGCCTTAATTACCACATTTAAATAACGAAAATTCTTAAAATAGTTTCGTACTTCCAAAATAATTATTTTTCAAAAAGTAAACCAAAAACTAGTTTTCACATAGAGATCTTTTAAAATGATTTATGTTTAAGTCTAGTTTTAATTTTTAAGAAAAATTAAACTATTTTCACTAATTTAAATTAAAATATCATACTTAATTTGCCTCCAACTTATGTATTTGGCTTGGAAAAGATAAGCTATAATTAGGGACAAGGTCAATTTTGGTCTTAAAAGTAAATTAGATCCGATGTTGGGGGAAATACTTTGTCAACCTACTGTGTCTGCCGTGATGACATACAGGGGTTTTCCAATAACACGTAACTATTTTTTTTATTATTTATAGCCTAATATCCACACAGTTATATATCAGGACTGCTATCCTGATGTACCAATATGATACCACTGATTCCAATACGGTATTTATTATATTGGTAAAAAATTACCATATATTGCTTTTCACTCTATTCACACAAATCATGACAGTTACCAACTAAGTAGTATTTACCAGTTTTAGTAGTATATATCTTTATTCAAGCTTATTCAATGTAATTCAGTGCATACCACCATTTTAATAAAAAGTAACTTGTGAAACAGTAACTTTTTTACAACGTCCCGCAACGCCACTTAGAAACAGGTTGTACAACGATAACTTAGGTGTAAACTTTATACGCAAAGTTTGGTATAAAGACATGTGTTGAAAAAGTAACGACCATCTACGTTCCTCTCTTTACAGTGTTGTTAAAATACTATTAAAAATTAGAATTTTATGACAGTGTGGATTTACTTGGTTTAATTGATTAGCTTATGTGCTAGAAGACAGTTTTATCCCGTAAAATTAAAATTTCTATACTGACCTCTTTCTAAGTAATTTATTATTAATGTTATCAACTTAATTTTAAAATTAAATATAAATGTGTTTGCAAAAGTTTCGTAAGTAATGTTCTCTAGTTAAATTCAGTAAAATAACGGTCTATAAATTCGCATGGCTTTTATATATTTCGAACGTGCCAGTACATTTAATTCACCACAGTTCTTTATGTGACCGAATTTGCGTGATTGAAATCTTAGTTAAATAGCCTAATAGTTAGGTTATTTGTGTAAGTTACTGTATTTGAATACAACTTGCAGGATAGATGTCAGTAAACTTGGACGGTAAACAATGACCTAGTAGTAAATCAAGTCATGAGATAACGGGCCATAACAACATTTAAAGGTGTGGAAGGTATCTTTTTACATATTTTAGTAATGCTGGTAAGTACCACAATCATTTAAATCGTACTACAACAAAGCCAAATAACCTGTTTAATGTCAATAATGACAAACTACGCAATCTTATATATTAAACAAATTTTGTTTTCTTTTCCGAGTTCGTTTGGCTCTTCTACCCGACCGATTTTCATGATTGAGGTCTCAAGTATGCACGCACAGATTTCACATCAAACATCAGCATATATTAATCTATTGTATTACTCGACCAAAAAACATAAATTTGATTTATTTTTGAATTCTCACTTCAATTTAAGATGTATTTCACCAGTTATAATTATGTAATCCTATTTATTTTGTTCTAAGAACCTTGAGTGAAATACTGGCTTTTGTTTAATATATTAGTTATTAAATTCGGACGAGTTTCAAGTAAAAGCAAGGTGAATAGCCAACATAAAAATTATTTGTATAAGGGATTTCTATTATTAAAAATCAATAGCTCTAGTATTGTATATTTGTTATGTGTTTTAGACTCAAAATAAACAGTAAGTTATAGGCTTTAATTTGAGCTATTGGTCGTTTGGATCAGTTTAGTTCAAGATTACTCAATACTCAGTATTACTCAATCAAAAATTATAAATTTAATTTTGTTCTAGGATATTATATTTATTTTAACGCTGCGGAGCAGCATGGTTCCTCTAATTGGCATTAATAAAACTGTCACCTAACTGTCTGTCATTAAAACTAAATTGCTGATGAAGTTCAATTTACCTAAACCACAAACTTGATCTTCAGGTTTCGATCTTGTCCTAGTCATAAATTTAAGACTAGGAACTGGCAACGTTTCGGCCTCGTTTTAGGGAGCTATCATCAGAGCAAGCGTCAAACACCCCACTTCTACTGGACATGAGATCAGCGAAAGTCAATCACAATACTTATCAATGGTGATATATTGTTTTATGGTTATCATAATTTTTTTCCCGGTATCCGGTTACACAAGAAGAGCTATATAATATTTCTCTATCTCTAAATTCTCTAACAATACATGCACTGTACTTTTTAACTAAGAACCTTATAGTTAAAATAAGGTAAAACTCTTCTAAGACCCCTACTGCTGACGCATATTTATTACTTTAATAATGTGATTAAAAACAACGATTAAATCGAGGTCTGTGCGCTTAAGTGAGGGTTTATTTAAAAACAAATATATTTTCCCTATGTTCTCCTTTAAGTAAGTGGTAGATATTCGTGCGGCTTGCTGGTTCATTCAAATTCGTGATCTTTATTAGCTTTCGCACTACATTTCAAATGTTTATAAATCATAAAAAAAGTTTGAAAATAATACAAAAATTAAAAATAGTTGTAAGAGTTACCAAGCACTTTTGGACAAAATAAAAGTGATAGTTTTAAAATATCGCCAGTATATTATCTCAGGCTGGCTGAAAGTTGCTTTGCCAACTTCCGCAGTCATTTCCTTTTCATATCAAAAACGAACCTCCGTGACATCATCACATCAGGAAATATACTCTACTCGATTTGTTTAGAAAAACACTATAAATGTGATTGCATGATAAATACAAGAATGAATCCATCTTCGTTATTTACTTGTGAATAATCATTTATCATAGTTGGCAATCGCTCTATTTACAATATTGTATTTATCTTGGTTATGTTAAACTCATACACCTAAATATCAATCTAAAAAGGTCAAATTACCCAATGTCCGCCAATTTACCGTTAAAATTATAATTTGAAGGATATGCATTTCAGTGTTTTAATCACCATCGTCAGTCCTTATATAAGCTCTTGATCTTCCCCATTACAGGTGCGTCTTGCAGTTGTATCACGAACAAACAAAAAATTATACATATAAAGACATAAAAGGAATAAATACACAGTAGGCCACCTTTTACTTTACCGTTGTACATGTTTACGCGCGTTGATAGTGTATTCCGTAAAATTTTGCTAAAATATCAATTTTTTAATGGGAAGATTTTCAATTATTATCTGTAAATGTAAATGTTTATTACTGGATCGTAAACTAACTCTAACTATTATTGCATCTCACCGTTATTATCTTGGTTATCATTGTAAGCGTGTTGTTAATAGTCACTGCTTACACAGAAATTAATTAACTACACCTAAATACAAAATTTAATATATATCACAACTGCGAAGTCGTGAGAATTGTTATTGAACTAAAGTTATCATCAAACAGTTCATGGACGAAACATATTCTGTAGACGATATAATCCCTTTCGTAGAAATGCATATATAAAACACTACGATAATAGTTTCAAGCACATTGTATATTTTGTTTTAATAAACTAAACCAACCACTTAGAAGACGCCTACTGTAAAACGACGAAAGCTCTTCGACAAATGGAAAGCAGTGGTCAAGTGAAGAACATAAATTGTCTTAATTGTGTTCACTGCAGACGACTTTTACTGTGTTTTTAGTTTTACTGCTCCATTTAACAGACTCAGAACTCAGAAAATGCCCGCGTGCTCTTGAAAGCCTCGATGTCCTTCATTGAACACAACTCAATAGGTAAAATATAACGTCACAAAACAATAGCCCAATATAATACTCTGCCAATATTAGTTTACTCAATAGAGTCATACTTAAGAATCAAAACAACTCTATATTGTTTACTTTTGTTTTCGTCAGTTAGTAATGTAAAAACAAAAATTTGTCAATGAATTAACCTTCAGCACCACAAGTAATTCGCAACAAAAGATCGTGAGTAGGTCGTGTGGTAGCGTTTAATTTTTATAGTGAGCTCAAATAAATGTTTATATCATAAGTACACTAAATGTCGATGGTTTTTTTTGCTTGTTCGTGTTGCATTAATTGGCAAGATTAAACGGTTACCATCTGCATTTTAAGCATAATATGATTAGGTATTTTAAACATTCAACCTATGAAAAGTATTACGGAATAAAATTAGTTTCTAACAAGTGTTTAAACAACTACTCTAATATGTAACTAGATTAATCGAATTTAAACATAACGTCCTTGGCGTTATGTTTCATACTGTGCGGCTCATTGAGCCGCACGGGTTCTCTAGTCGTCAATATTTCCTGTGTATTTTCACTACTGTACTGCGATATTATATTATCTAATTAGTACTGTACTATGGTTGCAATACGAGTAAATAGCATGAGCTTTCTTATTTTCATTTAGTAGTTATTTCAATGGTATCTTTAATCTATAAAATAAGTGTATTTTAGTTTTGACCTTGAAACAAAACTTGATAAAAATATCCCTGATTATAACATTGTATTAAATTCACCCAGAAAGATAAAGTATAGAAGCAATATTATGGACATTTGCCAACATTTGGCGTCTCGTTGGCGATAGCCCAGTCACTCTGGGCAAGTGACGTTGTCTTTATAAACCGAACCGGATTATTCTTATTGTCGTAAGTTGTGTATGTTGTAGTAGTTTGTACTTGAAAGTAACTTATTATATGTGACACCTATATTGAGCTGGAGATTTAATTTGTTTTTTCGCAGTAAACTTAGGCCTACAGACCACTGTATGTTTTCACACAATATTAGACTAAGTATAACGGAATGTAGGCTACTAACCAACGCAAGTAGACCTCTCATCCAATGTTGAATCCGAAGTTTATTTTTCATGTCTAGTTCAGGTTGGTGACGCTAGGCGCTAGTGTCAACGTAATTTTCTTTAAAATATGTTACAGTTAGTTTTATAGTTTGTGCATTACTGTCTGGTTATACAACTAGGGGACACGTGTTTTATGATTATATAGTTTAAATTGGTTAAACGAGGTTTTAAATAACTAAAGTAACACGAAACAAATTGTAAACAAAAACATGATCCTAGGGGCACTAGATGGAAATAACAATACAATTATTGTCTTTATCTGATCTATAAGAACGACAAACCTACTAAGGGACTATATGAGAGTATGTGTAACCTATATTAATGCACCACAGTAAGAAGCAGATACTTTTGGACGGGCATTGTTGTTTGGGTTGTAATAATATCAATTACTCGTAACATAAAGAAAAATTAAACAATTATACTTTTAGTATAAGCATTGACTATATAAAGTCAATGGTATGCTAATAGATCACAAAAATAGTTTTTCACGAGATATCGTTTTATTTTATATAATTAAATCTTAGTTCATATATTATTTCAAACCTTCGACGTCTGCTTGCGTTATTAATCTGTTTAATAATATGGTTTGTTACTATCCTAGTGGGTAGCGTCTCCGACTTAGGTGCGGGAGAGACGGGTTCAATCCCCGACACATCCACAAAACTTGGGGGGGGTTTGAACCGCTTTTCCAAAAAGGGTTTTTGTATCTCCTTAATGAATTTCCATTTGCCTGATTTGATTTTCACTTAAATCTATTTAAGTAGCTTTAAGTTTAACAAGTACCTAGGTTTGCTGCTACAGGGAGGTTAATAAAGTGTGTTTATTGTAAAATATTAATAGCTTGGAAAAAATTTATAAATTTGTTCAAAATACATTCATAAACAAGCAAACCACAACAGTTTGCAAATTCTTGATAAGAATATCATGGGAATTTTTAATTTAAGGTGTTTTGTAATTTCTTCATAACCATTTAGCACATTAAAACGCTTCTATATACTAAATTATTTGTTAATAAGCTCCAAAAAATGGTTTGGAAAGAAATTGCAATTTTTTTTATTTTGTGGGTCAAAAGTGCAAAACCAATTTTTACGTCATAAAACCCCGTTCCCATGGTCCGCGATCATGCTGTTTCGCAAGTTTATCCCGCCATACACCTTCAAGCCAAATTTCATTACTCAAGTTATCGCGTTCACGGACATATATACATATATAAAAATGTTAACGAATAGTGCTTTTGATTTGGTTTTCAATCTTTGGATTAACATTTCTATTACGATTTGAGTTGCCACTACAAATATATTTTCTGCTTATTTCAATGTCATAAAATTAAAAAAAGAAAAAGAAACACTAAAATATTTTTGTACAAACTAAACCCACGAAACCTTAGCCACGCATTAGTTAGAGTCATTCA